GGGGGGCACAGGGACCAAACGCCCTCTGGAAACAGGGAATGAAGACCCGACGCCAGGGTGGATGCAGCGACCACAACCCCAGAGAGGAGCCGGGGCCTCCAGTTCCCACCGGGCACCTTCCAGGTGGGGTGGGGAGGAGATGCGAGCGACACGATCAAAACTTCCAACATAAAGACGAGGGCAGAGCTGAAAGCAGCTAGGAGACAGGCAGAGATCCACCCTGCTCTTAGAAATCCATGCAGATGCACATAAGGAAAATAGAATTAAGGCTGAAAGGCCTACGAGAGAGACAGAGGAATATTTTACGTTGACTAAAGGATTCATCATCCTAAGAGTGTGGGTCGCACAGCTAAACCCTCTCAGTCACACCCACCCACAGCCACGCCCACCCACAGCCACACACTCAGTCACACAGCCACACACTCACAGCCACACACTCAGTCACACACACAGCCACACCCACCCACAGCCACACACTCGGTGACACAGCCACATACACCCACTGTTACACACTCACAGCCACACACTCACAGCCACACAAATAGCCACTCACACACGCAGTCACACATACACACACACAGTCACACATACACTCACACACGCAGTCACACATACACACATGCAGTCACACATACTCACACTCACACACGCAGTCACACATACACACACGCAGTCACACATACTCACACACACGCAGTCACATACACACACACACACACGCAGTCACACATACTCACACTCACACACGCAGTCACACATACTCTCACACATGCAGTCACACATACACACACTCACACACGCAGTCACACATACTCACACTCACACACGCAGTCACACATACACACACGCAGTCACACATACTCACACACACGCAGTCACATACACACACTCACACACGCAGTCACACATACTCACACTCACACGCAGTCACACATACTCACAGTCACACACGCAGTCACACACACTCACAGCCACACCCACCCACAGCCACACACTCACAGCCACACACTCGGTGACACAGCCACATACACCCACTGTTACACACTCACAGCCACACACTCACAGCCACACAAATAGCCACTCACACACGCAGTCACACATACACTCACACAAGCAGTCATACATACACACACTCACACATGCAGTCACACATACTCACACTCACACACGCAGTCACACATACTCACACTCACACACGCAGTCACACATACACACACGCAGTCACACATACTCACACACACGCAGTCACATACACACACTCACACACGCAGTCACACATACTCACACTCACACGCAGTCACACATACTCACAGTCACACACGCAGTCACACACACTCACAGCCACACCCACCCACAGCCACACACTCACAGCCACACACTCGGTGACACAGCCACATACACCCACTGTTACACACTCACAGCCACACACTCACAGCCACACAAATAGCCACTCACACACGCAGTCACACATACACACACACAGTCACACATACACTCACACACGCAGTCACACATACACACATGCAGTCACACATACTCACACTCACACACGCAGTCACACATACACACACGCAGTCACACATACTCACACACACGCAGTCACATACACACACTCACACACGCAGTCACACATACTCACACTCACACGCAGTCACACATACTCACAGTCACACACGCAGTCACACACACTCACAGCCACACCCACCCACAGCCACACACTCACAGCCACACACTCGGTGACACAGCCACATACACCCACTGTTACACACTCACAGCCACACACTCACAGCCACACAAATAGCCACTCACACACGCAGTCACACATACACTCACACAAGCAGTCATACATACACACACTCACACATGCAGTCACACATACTCACACTCACACACGCAGTCACACATACTCACACTCACACACGCAGTCACACATACACACACACACGCAGTCACACATACTCACACTCACACGCAGTCACACATACTCACAGTCACACACGCAGTCACACACACTCACAGCCACACCCACCCACAGCCACACACTCACAGCCACACACTCGGTGACACAGCCACATACACCCACTGTTACACACTCACAGCCACACACTCACAGCCACACAAATAGCCACTCACACACACAGTCACACATACACACACAGTCACACATACACTCACACAAGCAGTCACACACTAACAGTCACACACACTCACAATNACACGCAGTCACACATACTCACACTCACACACGCAGTCACACATACACACACACAGTCACACATACACTCACACACGCAGTCACACACTAACAGTCACACACACTCACAATCACACACACACAAAGATGTCTTGTATTAAATGTAAAGACAACCACAGGACATCATCACACAGAATGGAGCTGTGAACGCCTATGCACTTGGTTTCACAGTTCACTTTAGTTACACAAACCACCTGCAACGCAGGTGATGTTGAAGTGGCCCAGACTGCTGTGTCCCCTCCCCGGAGTCGCACGTGTTTCTGTTGTTAGGAATTACGTCACCTACATACCTGTGGGAGCAGAGAGTGACATTCCTGCGGTGGCCTAAATGAAACACCAGCAAACAGACCAGGGCGAGGAGGGGTCACAACAGCCCGTGGCGGCCGGTCAGGAGCCAGGCTTATCTCAGCGTGGAGCGTGTCTCCTCACGCAGCTCGGCACGCGAGAGCCCACGGGTGCCGACGCTCCAGCTCCGTGACCCAGGAGGGCAGAGACCAGCCCTCACTCGGAGGCCGGAGACCTGCAGCCACGCTCCTGTCCACCTAACGCGTTCCATTAAAATTCCTGCCCGAAGAGACGGACAGCAGGCCTGGGAGAACTGACACCCTAACCGCACAGTCTCCTGACCCATAAAC